GCTTATTATTTTTTGCAGACAGTAAGAGCAATTTTATAAAAGTAAACTTGAACTTTCGATTATGTCAAATAGAATTTCCGATGCTGGAACTTCGAAAGGATCTACAAAACGAAAGTATGTTTCGATGTCCAACAAACAAAAAGTGGAATTACTGCAAATAATGGATAAAGACATGAAGAATGTGACAGGGAGGCTAGTGAAAACGAAAAAATTTCAATTGACAAGTTAGTCGGTGTTCTCGGCACAGCAATTAACGAGACTTGAAGAGCGGAACTTTGTAACTGAACAAGAAATTATGTCTTTTTATAGAATTAAAGAGAAAGTATTATCACATAAAATGAAGCAACTTAAACAACTTACATTGAGAGAAATGTTTAATAAAGTAAACAAATAAATATTAAGCTCTTTTTTTTTTTTTTTTTTTTTTTTTTTTTGTGTGTGTGTGTTGTGTGTGTGTGTGTAAATTTTGATACCTTTTAGATCATAATTGTTCTTTATTTCATAAATTACGGTTTCATATTTTTAATTTTAGAATTTCTGCATGCCATCTTACGAGATTTAAACTGATGATCTATAATCCGGAAAAATCGATAATCCGGAATCGCCGAAGTCCCGACGAGTCCGGATTAACGACTTTTGACTGTATATGGTTATCTTTTGAATGGGTTCATAATTTGCTTCTATTTCTAATATAAATGATGGGATACTCGAGTTTCTAAGCAAGAAGTGAAACATAAGCCTTTCGAAATTCATTTTTTCTAGTAAAGAGCTCTTAAACAACTTTTCGCTTTTGGGGGTTTGAATTCTTTTATTAAACGGTTCTAAATTTGGCGACTTTTCAACATTTTGGTGATTTTAAGATTAGTTTCTATAGAAACTTTTTAATTCCGAGGTCTGAGAATTTTTTGACGATTTTTTTAAAACATTGTAACATTAATAAATTTCATTAAAATAATGGTAATAGTATATTGAAATTGTATTTAAAAAATAACATTAAAATAAGACATTTTTTTTTCCTGTAATATTATAAAGTTTCATTTTGGCAACTTATTATACAATATTTTAGATCTGAAAAATAAACAAGGTATAATACTATAAAGCCCAATTTATGAAACAGCTCTTAGCAAAAGCAAAATTAGCTGTGTAATTAATTAAAAAATGTCGTTTTTAATTTTTTCATATTAAGAGTTTTTCCCATGTAATTGCCTCAGAATATTCAAAATTCTCAGAATGTGCATCAGTTTTCTCTATAAAATTAATTTTATATTTTTTCCCTCCTATTTTTTTCCCAAAACATTTCTGGCTTTTTGCTGTTACAGAATTGGTAGGGATAATTTTTCTTTAGGATTTTACACATTGCAGCTTGGAAAGTTTAGAAGGATTTGAAGGCAAGATTTTTAGACCCACGATTCTAGAAGATTCGAGAAATATATGTCCAAAATGAAAAATGTCTCCATGGTATCAACATGTAATGGATGTATTTTACAGAAAGTTTGCAATGAATTTCTTAATTTTCGGAGAACATCTGGAAGAACAATAAAAACATTATATTTAAATGTTTTATTTCTGATACTAGAATCTTAACATATTTATCTTCTCTTTATTTTCTCTACTTTTCACTAGACAGAAGCATGGAAAATGTCAAAAATGCTTCTGATTTTATTACATGGGCAGGCATTATAGAAAGGGAATTTTTTATTAATAAAAAATTGAAAAGTTACAATTTAAAAGATTCATCTAATATTCCTTACACATAGCTGGCACTAGGCATTTTCCCTTCTGATGCAATCTCTGTGGATCCTAAATTCTGTTTCCTAAAGCCTTTCTAAATTCTACTTCCAATGCCTACTCTAAATTCTAAAAGTTTTCCCATTTCTAGATTTTGTTGTTCGGTATGTCACTAAATTTTAGAAATTCTGCCTCATCATCTCTGTAACCGTACTTTACTATATATATTTCATATTTCTTCTGAAATGTTCATATTACTAAAGAAATAAAATTAGCCACTTTTTCTGTACATTCTGTATGCATTTAGTGTTTTTTAGAATAACGGAAATCCTTAATTAAATCCAAAATTTCTAAAATGAAAAGGAAAAATGTTGAAGAAAGAAACTGAATACATAAAGAAAATTATTCTTCAAAATATGTTGTTATGTAAATTACCAGTTATACATATTATTATGTAAATTACCTAATTGTTTATGATTTCAACCTTTACTATAATTCCCCATTTCTATTTCCTCATATGATAGAGTTATTGAGTGAGATTAAGTTAAAATTAAATTGTATAATCTTTGACCACTAGTCCACATTATTAGTTTGAATTCGACTGTTCTTGTTTAATTACGTCACCGTGAGCTGTAATTGATTTTGGTTAGCATCAGAACATGCCTTTATGTTCTGAGCTTCTTTTTAAATAAGAGGCTTATTTAAACCTTTGTCTGGATATTGTAGTTACTTTCAGACATAGCGATAATATTGCTTCACGCCTGTAGGACGGTTTTGGCATTATTTAACTTTACCACCAGATCAATTAAACCCTCATAGGTACATTGTGAAGAGGTTGACAAGATAAAGATGCAGAAACTAGCAAGAGCATTGATTTGCATGTTGAGACAAATCTCTAATTGTTAGAAAAGATGCTTAAAGAGAAGGAAATCGATATAAACTAGCCAAAATGTCTGGGAAGGCTTCAAATTAAAATGACGGATAAATATTTTGTTGACTGTTGTTGTTACAAAACATAAATGTTCTGTAGCTTTTAATGCGTAATTATCTTAATATTGTTTAAGGATCTGTGTCATAAATTACATGTACTTTAAACTGTGAAATTTTATTAGATTTTGATTTAAATAGAGCTTTTTTTTAACAAATATTGTTAAAAAATAAAATTTAATAGTGGTCATGTAAATCCATAATGACTAGGGTTATCAAACTACCTAGTTTAATTATTTATATCTAACTGCTTACCCTTAAAAATTATCTCTACATATTAAAGCAAGTTATTGCCTTTGATTAATACTCACTGTGGTCACAAGATTAATTATAAAAATGTAAAAATTCAAGTAAAACATATTCTATGCATCTACTTAAAATAATACAAAACAACTTATCACCTCTGGTGCTTTAATGGCTTATTGAAACCTTAAAGTATATTTTAACTGGGATTACAACCCCTGGAACTGTACATGAAAGCTACGACACTAACTTCATCAAACAGAACCTGACTAACTTTTCAACACTTGCCAGCCTTGCCTACATCAGGCCTTTCAGGTTTGTTCTAGTCAGCAGGTCTCTCTCTAGACAAGCAGCAGCGGTGACAACATTCAGTCTTTTGTTATGAATCATGCTGATTATGATCATACTTCTCATTTTAACCTATGCTGTTTGACATAAAATCTACCTGATTATTTACTAAACCTTTAGACTGACCTAGTATGTGACAAAAAGAGACATTAAAAAAATCAACATAAAGCTAACTTTTAGTAAAACGTAAATGTCACTTATCTTCTTTCAAATATGACCAACAATTATAAGTGTAAAATATTTAATGCTACTTGATAAATTGCATAAAGTTTTTTTATTCTCAAACTTATTAACAATTATCTTAATTAATTCATGTTTAGCAATAGTGTGTACTACTTAGGGATCTATTTTATTTTTAGGATGGTATTTTAGAAGTGAAATTCAGGCATAGATAATATCTTCAATTGAATTTATTCAGTTTACATTTGCTCATAGGTTCTTAATTTTTTTCATTAATGGTCCTTAAAAGTACTTAATTTCCGTGTGGAGAAATGTGTATGAACCCTGTAAAAAACTTCCATGTCTTATCCCAAACATATAACTTGTATAATATCCAGTCATCATTCACTAATAACTATGCTATTCTGGGATAGTAAAATGTTAGTCAGAAAAAAAACTGTAGTTTGGGAAAATAAAAGTATGTAACATATCCATGTAAGAGAATTTCATTTTATTATTTATCATGTTTTACTCAATGAATAAAAAAATTAAACTCTTTTGTGTAGAATTTCATTTAATGATACTTATGTGTTATCACAACCACCTTAGTAAAAGTCTCCAAATTTTTAGAATGTGCCAAACTGTGGCAACCATGTGCATACCACTCTTCAGGCAACCATTCTTATAATAAACCTTCAGTCAAGCAACTTTGCCATTTTCGAATGTGTTCATTTTGTTGTATTCCAAGCTCCAATGGTTTTTATAAACAAACTGTGATATTTTTTGCTTTAGTTTTAAAATATGTGCTTGTGGAATTTGCTAGCAATGGAGAAAACATCAGTAAAATTTCTGCAGAAGTACAGAATTTTGCCGCAAAATCTCTTCAGACCATAACAAAGAGTTGTGGTTGGTAGATGCCAGTGTTGCCGAGGTTTGTGCAATGAGCCTGCAATTTTTTTTTTTTTTTTTTTTTTTTTTTTTTTTGTTTTTTTTTTTTTTTTTTGTATACTTAGGAAAAATACTATCACAAAAAAATTGCAGAAAGATTTGGAGACGAATGTAATTAGTAAAATATGTTAACTTTCATATGTTGATAATGCTTGTCACTTTAGATAAATATTGTTGCGTTCTATGGTTCGTGGATTTGAAGTGATTGATGACAACACTTGATAAAGTATCAAAATGTGATTTATTTGCCAGTATTACTCAGGACAGTTTCAAAAACACATTTACAGTTGCCAAAAAATTATGACAAGCACAGAGAAACGATCAGCATTACAGCCTTCAGGCTACAGGAAAGGTGAAGAAAGCTTCACAGCAAAACACTAAATACAGCTACCAACTTGGTCGATCACTGTCGGAGCTCAACACACTCAAGATACTCTTCACGATAAGAACTTGCGATACACTAGTTATGCATAAGTAGATTAACTGATACTGAACTGGAAACTAGAATTTTTAAATGCTAATTGTGTGAAATTAATTAAAAAGTATTATTAATATTTTATGTAACATTTTGTTTGTTCTCTTTAAAGCTTGTAGATAACAAACTCACAAGAAAAATCTTAAAGCAAGTTAAAAAGCAACAGGAAGATCTTGAAGAAGAAGTGGGATTAAAAGGGTAAATTTATACATGATTTTTAATTTTCCATTTTTATTTATGTCAATCATAGGTATATGTTTTTGTTTACTAAAATTAAAATTTTGTTATATTAGTAAATTATCAAAATCTAAAATGATTTTTAGTTTGAAATGATAGTTTATTTGTTTTAGGCAGCTTGTTTTCTTAATTATGAATTTATTGAGCTATCTGACCCTGTGAGCAAGATGAATATTTTTTAATCAATAATAAGCATCAGCATAGTATAAACAAAAACAAGGAGAAACTCTCAACATAGCATGATGGTTGGTGGTTTTCAAAAATTATTAATATATTGATGATCAGGTGAATTTAAACACAAAAGAACAAACTATGTTTCTACAATTTTTCCAAGTTTTTCTGGAGTTATGATCAATATTTTGTACCAATGAAAAGTAGCATGAAGCAGCCAAGACCAAAAGCAGTTTATTAATTAAGAATAGAAATCGAAAAATAACTTTCATGAAATAAAAACTCATTTTAATGCCAAAAATGTAGGTTTTCTTTGAATCATTATCAAAGATTATCTTTATTGCTTGGAATAGCTTATTGCTGCCACAGGTCAATCATTTCTTTCATTTGATCATAAACTTTTAATTAGTAACTGTAAATATTTTACAGATATCTGTATATTATATATGTACAATATCTACAATTAATTATATTTACATTATGTACAATTATATTATTATTAATATATATTTACAGTATCTACAATTACATTATTATTAATATATATTTACAGTATCTACAATTACATTTAAATATTGTAGATATTTAAATGTAATTGTAGATACTGTAAATATAACCTTCTAATATTGTAGATATTTAAATGTAATTGTAGATACTACTTTTAATTAGTAATTGTAGATATTACATTTAAATCACTGAATTCTATTATAGATGGGAAAACTAGAATGTGGCATAACTAAGACAAATCGATGAATGTATCTGTGTGGTTTCTGTTAACAAGTTTGTGATGGCTTGATTATTATCGAAATATGTTTGTGGGACATATGTTGTTGCTTATCCTGGAAAGATCAGACATATGTCAGATCAGCTCCAGAAGGTTATTGACCGCCTGATAATAAGGAGATCGGATGTTAAGTTCCCCATAGAAAGACCAATGCAGCTCAGAATGTGATCCGGTGAAGCTGAATGTTCACAGCATTTTTTTGCAAGTGGAGTGGATGTTTCTGCCACTATCAAAGGAAGGGCATTTAAGGTGGTCACTTGTTAGTCTAGTCAGAGTAGTCTGGGAGCCACGGGATGTTCTTGTGTACCATTAGTGCATAGGTGGAATACGCCATATTAAACAGAGTTTAGATCTTATTTGTTGTATAATTGATAATTCTAATAGATGTTAGATATAGAGTGGAAAGGTGGGATGTAATATAAATGCAGTTCATTTTTTTTAGCCCAAAGGGGCAATTTGACCAAATGGCTATTAATTTTGTTTTGACATTTTGTGCATTCATTCACTATAAACAGCAAATCACTTTTTAAATTGTTGCCACCAAATATTAGAGCCCTGTATTATAATTAAAGAAATTAAATAATGAAGAATCTGCATAAATGTATGCATGTTTCTCGCATTGTGATAAAACAACTGTACCTAGAACCAGCAAATTTTAAATAGCATATGTCTCCACCTGAATATGGGTATTTGGAAGCTCAAATTACTTTGTCAACATCCTTCTTATCTTCTTCACTCAAATTAAAAGTATTGAACTTTGCACGTGCTTCTTCACAAATAATATGCAATAAAATAGCTACTTTAATTTCAGGTGATTTAGTAATACCACCAGACGTTAACATATAAATTTGGAATTTTTGTTCCCATTTTCACTTAAATTACCTTCGAAATTTAGATTACTGGGTGGCTTTAATCCATCCATATTTAATTTAGGACCTTAAATAGCTTATATATACGTATTTTTAGCCACTTCAAATAAAAATATAAAACGCACTTACCAGCGATAGTTTCGATTTCACTGTAAACACTTCCTATCATGTTTTTGTTTAGAATTTTTTACCAACACTGCATGGTTCTTCAAAAAAGATTTTCTTTTTTAATCTACGGTCGACTGCACCATGTGTTGTTTTTTATATGTTGGGTATGTGCGTGCTGTTTAACCAAGATACAAACTAACGCCAAATATGCTCGCCACAGCTGCCAGAAAAACATTTCCTTCATTTAACGCAGGCCCAGAAACATCGTTTAAGACAGACAGATGTCTTGTTTTGCACTCGCTAGACAGACAGACAGACAAAGTAGACAGATGTCTTGTTTTGCGCCCGCTAAGACTTTCCGCACCGATGGACGAAAAATCAAGCATAGGTGCGAAGGAAAGGTATATAGAAAGGGGGGCAATTTCGTATTTGAGGAGAGTAAAAAGGAACTTCATACAATTTGTACGAGTTCAAAAGGCCAGAAAGAAAAGATGGAACAAAATAAAATTTAAAATAAATGCCCCAAAAATAATAGAGGGGGGCGAAGAGCCTATAAAAAGAAAAGGAAAAGAAGTAGAAAATATCCTAAAATACGATTGTGTCCACGAGTGTAGTTAAAAGGAGTTCGTTTGCAAAAATTAGTAAATAAATGAATTCCTACATGGTAATGTGTATGCCCTTATCTTGAGACCTGAATATTCCGTGCCAGGGTTTGTTTTGGATTTCTCGTGTTGATACTGAACAGCGAACAAGTGAAGCAAACAATTTGAAGACAGACAGACAAAGTAGACAGATGTCTTGTTTTGCACCCGCTAAGTCTTTCTGCACCGATGGGCGAAAAATCAAGCATAGGTGCGAAGAAAGGTATATAGAAGGGTGGGCAATTTCGTATTTGAGGAGAGTAAAAAGGAACTTCGTACATTTTGTACGAGTTCAAACGGCCAGAAAGAGAAGATGGGACAAAATAAAATTTAAAATAAATGGCCCAAAAATAATAGAGGGGAAAAAGGGCTTATAAAAAGAAAAGGAAAAGAAGTAGAAAGTATCCTAAAATACGATTGTGTTCATGAGTGTAGTTAAAAGGAGTTCGTATGCAAAAATTAGTAAATAAATGAATTCCTACAAGGTAATGTGTATGCCCTTATCTTGAGACCTAAGAAGAAAAGACATATATCATCACAGAGATGTACATAATATTTTAACTAAAGTAACATTAACTATTACCGTTCCCAAAAAATTCATGTGTATTTCAGAAAAACAGTAATTGACAAAATCATAAATCCATACACAGTGTGAGAGCATTTCAGCAAAAATAAATTATACAGTTTATTTTTCTTAAACATTAGTTGAATATAAAATTAATTTAACCGTTGTAATTTATTATAGTACAAGTTTAACAAATTCCGTCACACTGTATTTATGTTTGCTCATAATTCTAAGTATGAGACCTGAAGAAAAAAAAGGCGAGGATCTTAGTTACAAAAATCACAATCTATACTCATTGATGGTCAAGAGATCCCCATTTTTGCCTCTCAAGAAATTCCTAAGCACGAAAGGAGGGGCCTCCGAAGGGTATGAATTGCTGATAAGAACGGACTACTGATAAGGAATGTGGCGTGTCTATGGAATAGTTACGAGGAAAAGAACCACATCACTTGCTACTATAACTAACTATTGTATAATATTAGAATCTTATGAAATAATAAATAAAGAAATTTAATGGCACTTTAGTGATAGAGAATAAGATATTGTATAGAGAACATAATGTTACTTATCTGAATATTCCGTGCCAGGGTTTCTTTTGGATTTCTCGTGTTGATAGTGAACAGCGAACAAGTGAAGCAAACAATTTGAAGTTTTGAATAAGCGATGTTTCCTTTTTCAATTTGATGGATGAGACATTGCATAGGAAAGATGCATTACACTTTTTTTTTTTAAGAGAGTTGAACACATTTCTTGAAACACTTATTTAAAAATTTCGGGAGCTATGTTTAGACACTGCCTTCAGCTTTCGTGATCGCAGCGCCCCCAGAAGTTTCGCATGATTAAAGATAATAACAAACACAGTTACAGTTACGTATATAACAGAACTCGTTAGGCGAGTTAAAGAGACAAGACCAGATCATCCTCTGAGGAGAAACTGGAGTTATAAAGAAATAGGAAGCTTTAATTTAGCTTTAAATAAATAAGTAGCTACATCACATCAACCACATAAACAAAATATGTTAAAGTGCTGAAAAATTGTCGTGAACTGAAGTGTAGTCAATTTCTATTTAGTGTCTGCTGTTAGATTTCGGGAGGATAAAGTGAATTTGTGTAGATTTTTTAGAAGTTTTAAAAATTTGAAAAATGGAACTTAGTAAAAATATACTAGACGGAATTTCTATCGCAGGAGACATATCAAAAATTTCTGATAATGTATATAGCCATCTACTTACCGAAATATGCGAAGTTGCTGTTAGCAGACCTATCAGGAAAGGCGAGTTTCCAATTTAAAAAAAAAAAATTCTTCTTTCATACGTATGAAAAATGTTTATAACGCAATGCATAATTTTGTACTTCTTTGATAAAAACTTAGTCATAGATTATGTTTATAATTTTCTTACTAGTGCGAAATTTTATTTGAATAGGACGTGACTGTAAAAGTTTAGATGAAAAAACAGCGTACAGCTCGTTGCTTAGTTTTCTGTTAGAAGCGGCGAAGCATGATGCAGATCCTATGTCTCTAAGGTGTGGTAAAGTATGAAACAAACTTACACGTCTATTTATGAACATTTAAAATGCGTTATAATCTATGAGAATTCAGTTTTGGGTATTTTTTTTGTGTGACCAAGGGATCAGAAATTACTACCCACTTTTAGAAGAAGAGAACCACCAAGAAAATTGAACTAAAATTATACAAAAAATGTATCAAATAATTATGCATTTTTGGTTATATTTTGGTATCACATGAGGTTTAACAACACACAGCAAGAGATTACAGAAATTTTATTCTTGAATTAATAATTTTTCTGTAAAGATTTGTAGTAGATATTTGTGTAATTTTTTTTTTTTTTTTTTCTGTTTAAATATTTTATAGAATGGAAAAATTTTTGCAACAGAGTTTAAAAAGATATTCCAAGATACATACTGAGTTTATAAGATATAAAGAAAGTAAAATATTATAAAATAGCAAGGAATTTTTATAATGAAACTGCATGTAGAAAATATTTGCTTTTTAGATAGTAATTATTCTAACTTTTTACCATTGCAGATATATAAACTTGTTCCTAAATACTTATTTAATACAGTGGTGCCTTTCCTGACACCACAAATATGACAAAGGATCAGACTGGCCGGTATTCATCTCTCAGAGAAGCCATATTGCTCACACAGTTATTTATGAGAAGCACAGTAAAATGATGAATATTCAAAAAGGCTAGTTAAATAGTATAAATGATAAACCTATACCCTAATGGTTTTCGTAGCTTGGCATAATTTCAGTAAAAATACAATGTTGCCAGATTTAGCAACTTTTGACAACTTTGCGACAATGTCTCATAATCTACAATCTAGCCTAGTAACTATCAGACAGGCTCATCTCCATAAATTATTCATAAAAAATTTAGATTCAAAGAAATTAATTAAAATTGCTTATCTGCCTGTCTTTCGTCCGTGGCTACAGAATCTTATTTCTTGCATCTCTCTGTGTTCTTGAAAGTTATCGGAGTTCATCAGTGACAAGATTCTTTATGTATTTTTACCCCAAAGGAGCGTTAGCTCAGAAGGGCAATTTATTTCCTTTTGGCATTTTGCATAGACTCACTTTCTGCAATGTTTCGCATTTCAGACTGTTGCCAACAAATATTATTGCCCTGTGTTATATTTAAAGAAATTAAATAATGAAGAATCTGCATAAATGTATGTATGTGAATTGTTATAAAACAACGGTATCTAGAGCCATCAAATTTTGAATAACATAATCCTCCTCCGAATATGGGCATCTGGAAGCCCAACTTTGGAATTTGTTTTATTATCTATTTCATATTTTGTAAAGCATTTATGAGTTTTTGATTAAGAAACTGAACAATTTCAAAGCGGGTAATGGCAAATGAAAAACTTTTCTATCTTTAGCGTGCAAACTGTATATCAAAAATTCCAAAGGTATGCTCATTTTAAAATTATTTTGGGATATTGCTGTTGAATTGAATTTTATAGTTTAAGTGTGAAGAACATGATATTTAATAAATAAAGTTAATGCAGAAAACGTTAAAAGAACGGCCCTTTGGGCATAATGTAAAATCTAAAAGCTTTCAGATTTAAAAAAATTTTTTTAACATCATTAAATTAAGATAACATTTACAAAGAGGTATGAGGATATTTACATATAAAACTATATTAATTGCCAGCTTGTGTGTTAATTAAATGGTGGTTCACAAAACAAATTTAGAAAATTAAATGTGCATATACCATGTAACTTACAAGTTAAAATACATTTGCATTTTCACAAGTTAAAGGGAATGATTGCAACTAAAAGAAAACAAATTCTCACAAACACAAATATAGCTAGAATTTAGCATATGTACATCATATTCCAAAAGGCAGTCATTGACTGCAGAATATCTCAAACTTCACAGATACAGGGTGTCCCATAAAGGACCCCTGTTTTTAAAATTAAATAACTTGAAAACAAAGATCCATAGAAGAATGAAACAGAAGGTATGCTTATTGGGACAGCTGTAAAAATCTGAAGCAGAAGTTTCACATTTAGTTACAAAAGTTGCCAATAAATGGCGCTGTAGTCGCAGTACGTTCTGGGAAAGTATAAAAAACATGCCTTCTGTAAGCTGTCATTGTTATCATGTCACAGTGTTTTCAAAATGTCCACATTTTGCAATACAGTGGTGAGGCAAACCAAGAACGAAATTTTCAGATACCTTCTGTAGTGTATGAAGGAAATGGATGCACGTGCCTCACAGATTGACTCTTCAAACTCGTGCAGTGTTGTGGGCTTCTTCTGGGAGACAGTGTCCTTCAAGGAGCCCCACAAAACTTAATCACAAGAGGGCAAGATCGGGTGAGCATGGAGGCCAATCCATTCCCGTTCCAGTAAATTTGGAGTAGCCCAAAGCAATAACTGTATCCCTGAAGTATTCCTTAACCCTTTGCGGCTCAGTGTTCCACTACATGGAACACCCAAATTGAATTGCTTCTGAAAACTTTAAATTCAACCGTAAATAGATAAAAATGCCTTTATAATATACTTTGAACTTTTCTTTTTAACAGTAGATAGCAGCATATCACAAGGATACACAGAATTTTCATTTATTATGTGTTATTAAAAATCTACTTTTTTTCAAGTAATTTTCTCTATTTTTTTAATGATATAAAAAAATTTTATTTGGAAAAAAAATTAGGCATAATTTTGCTGGCTGTACTCCAAATTATTTGTTCTATATTTTTTTTTAATCTTTCATACATAAACTATACGCAGAATCATTGAATGAAACAAGGTGTTCCATTAGCGGGAACACTGCGCCTTTAGGGATCTCATGCTGTTACGAATCAGAACATCTGTGCTTAGGAGAGAACATCCGCTGTTTATGTTTTCTGTTTCCGTTGTTTTTTTTTGGGGGGGGCATGAATTCAAACAAAGCAGTATTGAGGGGTGAGGTGTGTTTTGTGTTATGAATACCCTAATATTGGCATCTTGAATTTTTTGAGAGTAGTTTTTAGGTGGGAATTTTATTAGTAGCTTGACTCATCTTTACACCTGCCCGACACTCTGACACCTGAGCAAATTTTTTGCTGTCGCATTTTAATCTCATTTCCATTTATTTTCTATAATTGTGTAGATATTTTTCGTGTATGTATATATTATAGATTTATTTTTCTTTATTGTTAACATTAATCATAGTTAATTTTTTTATTATTAATTTTCCATAAATGGCGCGGAGAGGTCTAACTCTTTCCGAAAATTTGTAAATATTTTTGTATATAGGACTTATGTACATAGATATTTATCTCATTTATCCATATATATATTCAAGAATATTGTGTATATCCAGGAAACCATGTATACAGCCATAATACATAGTTTTTTCTTTCTTATGCAAACGCTTCTACTCATTTTCGTGCTTCACTGCAATGCTCACTTAGTCGCACTTTTAAAAGCTCTGGCGGCGCAGTGTTCCACTTCATGGAACACCCACAGAATTAAAATGGTAAGTGCAATTTTTACAAAATTTTACCTGTATACTCCTTTAGGACTAAATAGACTGCATACAACTTTTTTTGTTGAAATTCCGATGTTAACGTATAGTGCGCCGCAAAGGGTTAAAGAACTGAAACACCTGGTCCGTCGTGCGGGGTTGGGCTCCATCTTTGCATGAACCCCGAATTGCCTGTAAGATCCTAATTACTAACAATGTGGCGACATATTGTTCCAACATTTCAATGTAACAGTCAGAAGTGATAATTTCTCACAAGTAGAAGGTGCCAGTAACAACTTTGCTGGATACTGCAGCTCAAACAGTAACTTTTGGGGAATGTAGTGGGTTTGCTTAACACAAATGCGGTTTTCAGTACCCTAAAATAGCCAATTGTTTGTTCATGACACCATTCACGTGAAAATGTGGTTCATCTGTCAACCATATGCAGCCAACATCTAATCCGTCATCATCAATCATTAGGAGCATTTCGTTCATGAAGTCTTCTCTCTGCTGCGCAGCTCAAACGGGAATGGCTTGGTGACATTGGATTTTAAACACAAACATGCGTAGCTTGTTTCTCAGTATTCTGTGCATGCTGGATCACATTAAGGTAGATTCTGCTGGCAAGTCTTCTGATGGAGTTCTTCAGATTTTCATCAATAAGTACAGAAACTGTCCTGACATTTTCAGGAGTAACTATAGTCAAAAGTAATTAATTCGGACACCCATAATCCGGAATGATCTATAATCCAGACCTCAAAGCTACAAACTTTCTGTGCATTAGTCGGTATTCTCGACACAGCAATTATAGGACTTGAACAGCGGAACTTTGTAACTAAACAAGAAATTATGTCTGTTTAATAGAATAAAAGAGAAAGTATTATCACATGAAAGGAAGCAACTTTGAAAGAAATGTTTAATAAAGTAAACAGATAAATGTTAAGCTTTTTCTTTTTGTAAATTTTGATACCCTTTAGATCATAATTGTTCTTTATTTCATAAATTACGGTTTCATATTTTTAATTTTGTAATTTCTGCATGCCATCTTACCAGATTTAAACTGATGATCTATAATCTGGAAAAATCGATAATCCCGAATCGCCGAAGTCCCGACGAGTCCAGATTAATGACTTTTGACTGTATAAGAGCGCCTAGCACCAACATTTTCCACTAACTCATCAGCCATGCTTCCATCAGCCATAGGCGTTTATGCGTGTGCATAAGACCTTTACGGCTGCGAATATGCGTGTGCATGTGCGCATGCGCGTGTGATGTATAACGGACGGTATAAGCTAAGCTAAAATTATCTAATTACAGAATTAAGGCATGTTGCAGATTGTGGACGTGCTGTTTCCTTAATCTTCGAATTGGATCCAGCTTATTATTTTTTGCAGACTGTTTGTTAGAGCAATTTTATAAAAAGTAAGCTTGAACTTTCGATTATGTCAAAAAGAGTTTCCGATTCTGGAGCTGCCAAAGGATCTACAAAGCAAAAGCATGTTTCGATGTCCATCAAACAAAAAGTGGAATTGCCGCAAAAAATGGATAAAGCATATCCTTTGTTTCTCTAACCATTCTGAAATCTGTTTATCAATTTGTTTCCCCATCAACATTTTTTAGCGTATTTAACTTGAATCATCACCAAGCGTAATGTCAACATAAAAGGTTACCATACTTTTTTATTATTCGATTACTAACATAAAAAATTGTTTAGGCATCGCTACATGAGTCATTACTCAAGTTGTCATGTGTTAATAAACATGCGGTGATGAAAGGAAAGTATAATACAGTCAAAAGTCTTTAATCCGGATGTCCATAATCCGGACCTCAAAGCTACAAACTTTTTGCGCATGTGTAAACGTATTATGCGCTTACGCATGCGCATTCAATGTATAACATTCCGTAAAAGCTAAGCTAAAATTATCTAATTATCTATTTCAGTTAATGTTGCAGATTGCGTTGTTCCTTAATCTACAAATTGGATCCGGCTTATTATGTTTTGCAGACTGTTAGAGCAATTTTATAAAAGTAAGCTTGAACTTTCGATTATGTCAAATCGAATTTCCGATATATATTTACTAATATGTAAAGGATGTACAAAGCAAAAGTATGTTTCGAAATCCGAAATTTGTTTATCAATTTCACACTGCGGCGCGCAATGGATAGGAAGTTGATCTGCCAGCACTATCCTTATCTTCAGGGCAGATGTTTTATTTTATTCGGCTTATAATTCCTTACTAAATGTAGTATGTCATCTCGATGTACTCCGTCTTTGATATGATTTAAATCAAGTTCCTCGTCATTATAATTCGCTTCTGATAGTGAAGAAAGTGACAGAGAGGTTATTGAAAACGGAAAAATTTCGATTGACAAATTAGTCGGTATTCTCGACACAGCAATTATAGGACTTGAACAGCTGAACTTTGTAACTAAACAAGAAATTATGTCTGTTTAATAGAATAAAAGAGAAAGTATTATCACATGAAAGGAAGCAACTTTGAAAGAAATGTTTAATAAAGTAAACAGATAAATGTTAAGCTTTTTCTTTTTGTAAATTTTGATACCCTTTAGATCATAATTGTTCTTTATTTCATAAATTACGGTTTCATATTTTTAATTTTGTAATTTCTGCATGCCATCTTACCAGATTTAAACTGATGATCTATAATCTGGAAAAATCGATAATCCCGAATCGCTGAAGTCCCGACGAGTCCAGATTAATGACTTTTGACTGTATAAGAGCGCCTAGCACCAACATTTTCCACTAACTCATCAGCCATGCTTCCATTTCATTGAAATTTATTGAAAAGCACAACTTAGTTTTTGAATCTAGACCTTCTACAATGTTAAATCAGGATTGAAAACTGTGCCTTGTTGCCGTAGGACTGTAATTTAACCTGTGAAATTCCATTACCAGAAAAAACATGTTTCATGGAATACATGATTTTCATGCACGTCCTTTGATACCTGATTTCATATTTTAACAGTGAAACTGTCCGCAGACTGGTCGCTATGGACTTCAGATCACTCTTTGTGGAGACTCCGTCTTGGTAATACAGCGTACTATGAACAACTTTTGTAACTAAATGTAAAACTTCCGTACCAGATTTTTACAGCTGCCCCAATAAACATACCTTTTGTTTCATTCTTCTATTGATCTTTGTTTTTGAGTTATTTAATTTTAGAAATGGGCGTCTTTTGTGGGACACCCTGTTTAAACTCCACATTTACCAGTATGTTGCTTCAGATACTGCAGGCAGTGTATATATATAGAAAGGGTACTTTATGTATGTACCCTTTTTAAGAATTGTAGTGATTGCAAAATGCCACACATTGTATCTATTTTTTCAAATTCTTGATCATCTGTGAAAGTTCAGTGGTCATTATTATCAGAAAGTGCGATAGCTTCTCTTATTATGAAATGAAAATAATATATTTTTGTAATAATAATATTATTGTATTAATAATGTAATAATATTAATGAAATATATTTGGTATTCAACATTTATTTAGTTCTGTATTAGAAGAATGCAGAATGGATTCTAGTCGCATATCTATGTTTCAGAACAAGTTCCAGGTGAATACTGTTTCAAAATTTACTCTTAATAATTTTTTTTTATGTAATTATACGTAACATTTATTGAACTTTTCATTTTAGGAAAATAAAGATAAAATTCAATCCCAGTTATCAAGGTGAGTGTATTAAATTTTTGCATTATTGAATTTCATAATATTTAATTTAATATCTACTTTGTATGTTGCTAGACTACCTTATGCATTTTTTTTTTTTAACTAAACAGAATAGGTAGAAGTTTTGATCATGTGATTGATGTGAAATGGCGACAGGATTATGTGATCAAGGTAATTATGTAATTAGTGTACATAAATATGAAAGTAAAAAAAAAGTAATTAAACTTTTAACATTTCCTATTAAGTCTGAAATATAAATAGCTTTACATACAGTCTTCTCACTAGTATTTTAAAATTTAATTACTCCTTAACTGATGTCTAATTTATTAGTAATATTTAAAATAGTCTAGAAAATGATTCAAGTCATCTTTTTTTTTTTTTTTTTTCCCAAATTTTTAATGTTTCATATGGAATTCTGAATTATTTATATTATGCTTTGAAAAGCTGAAATTAAAGAAATTATAAACAAATTTAAGTACTCAAATATTTGACCTAATATGAGTGGCAAATTTTGCTTAAAAAATTTCTAATATTGTATACAAATACAGTCAAAAGTCGTTAATTCGGACACCCATAATTCGGAATGATCTATAATCCGGACCTCAAAACTAAAAACTTTCTGCGCATGCGCCGCGTTGACACATGCGCATAGGCGTTTACGCGTGCGTGTAAGACCTTTTACGACTGCGCATATGAGTGTGCACAAGTGCAGAATACGTTTTCGCGTGCGCGTTTTATGTATAATGGACGTATAAGCTAAAATTATCTAATTATCTATTTCAGTTAATGTTGATGATTGCGTTGTTCCTTAAATTTCGAATTGGATCCGGCTTATTATTTTTTGCAGACTGTAAGAGCAATTTTATAAAAAGTAAGCTTAAACTTTCGATTATATCAAATAGAATTTCTGATGATATATATTTGTTAACATGTAAAGGATCTAAAGCGAAAGTATGTTTTGAAATCCGAAATCTGTTTATCAATTTCACGCTGCTCGGCGGGGGGAACGCAGCGTGTAATGAATTGGAAGTTGATTTGTCAGCACTATCCTTATCTTGCGCAGATGTTTTTATTTGGCTTATAATTCCTTACCAAATGTAGTATTTCATCTCGATATGCTCCGTCTTTGATATGATTTAAAACAAGTTCCTCGTCATTATAATTCGCTTCGGATAGCGAAGAAAAGTAACAGAGGTTGTTGAAAACGAAAAAATTTCGATTGACAAATTAGTCGGTGTTCTTGACACAGCAATTATAGGACTTGAACAGCGGAACTTTGTAACTGAACAAGAAATTATGTCTGTTTAATAGAATTAAAGAGAAAGTATTATCACATGAAACAAAGCAAAACTTAAACAACTTACATTGAAAGAAATGTTTAATAAAGTAAACAAATAAATATTAAGCTTTTTCTTTTTGCAAATTTTGATACCCTTTAGATCGTAATTGTTCTTTATTTCATAAATTACGGTTTTATATTTTTAATTTTAGAATTTCTGCATGCCATCTTACGAGATTTAAACTGATGATCTATAATCCGGAAAAATCGATAATCCGGAATCGCCGAAGTCCCGACGAGTCCGGATTAACGACTTTTGACTGTATACATTCAAGCAATTGCCTCTTAACAGGTCACTGCTTATTAGATCAGATTTTCAGGTGATTTTTTAGATCAGATTCTAGATTTTTTTGTAATATATATTGGTTATTAAATCACTTCGGAGATGCTAATTGTAGCTATCAGGTTACATTCAGACTTGTGGTAGAAATAAAATTACACATTCCCCAGAAGAAAAAGAGACTCCACATTTACAGGTTTATTTTTTTGTTCAGAATTTTTCCCAGCACTGTAACTGTTACATGTACAAACTCCTTAGAAGTTTTCAAGTTAGTTCATCATTAGTTAGCACCTATTAATCAACAAGCAAACAAATGTGAAGTACCCATTTCTTCAAGGATGTAGATACACGCATTTTCCAAGTTCTATTGCTACTTCTGTTGTACTTTTATAGTTTGATCTCCTGAAAGATTAAGAAATTGTTTTCATAATGTACCAAACTTTCAGCAAATTTTCCAAAATGAAGTTAGCATGTTATTGCTTGAGAAAGTGGCAGTTGAACTTCTGAAAGTGACTATGAGTAATTTTGTCAAAAAACATAAAAAAGAACATTTTAGAGACTCTGGATATTGCTAAAAAATGTGTATTAATCGTGAAACATATAATATCAGCAATATTTGTATCAAATTAAACGTAGAATTCTCGGTAGTTATTTTAGAATTCGGAGATTAGTTTCAAAATATTCTTTGCAGTAATATATGTTTGTTATCTTATATAGTTCATTTCTAAAATTGCCTTAAAATATGTTTTTAATGCTTAATGAAAAGTATCATACATGCTTTTTCTTTTATTTATACAAATATTTTAATCATTTGTACTGAAAAAAGGCCTAAGGTAAAAATATATTTCAGCCTACCCGTTTGTGAAAATTGGCGAGTTTTGGTGCCATTACTGTTTACCTCCAATGCTCTCCCCAGTAAAATGGCATCCAAAACAAAAGTAAATCAAAAAATATATAATCTCAATAAACAGCATTTTAAGTCAAACAAGGAAATAATATAAAAATGGAAATACATGTTACCTAATCTATACACAGTACAGAAAGGAAATATTCTCTTACCTTCTTTAAAAATTTCTATTTCTTTGATACGCGTGACACACAGAATTCCTTAACAGCATCCAAAGACTATTAAAATTATTTAAATAATCTGCATACTGCTGTTACCACATGAAAGAACACAAGTTCTTAATATTGTATACATGCATAATCTTAAAATACACGCAACAACAACAACAACAACAAAAAGTTGTATACATGTATAATATTAAAATTAAAAAATTAGTTAAAAAAGAATTAAACTATTCTGGAAAAATATTTTTTTAATTGAATTTAAAAAAGATAACTGGCATGAAGTAAGTTGTAAATTAAAAGGTAAAAAATTACTAAACAATTTTTAGAAATATTTTAGAATATAAAACTATGCAAATGCAAGTTAATTATTCGTATTTTAATGTTTCAAATTGACTCAGCAAGGGATAATAATTTAAAATATTAAAATCCGAACAATTAAGAATATTTAACTCACATTTCATTCCACTTGATTTTTTGAGCACACAAACAATATAAAAACTAACTAATATAAATACAAACTAATAGAAAAAAATAAAATACAAAACAAGGTCTGTTCAAAAATATTTACACCCACTCTCAAAGAGTGAACTGATAACCCTGATATGAATAAAAACAAATTACATAACAACAAAACAATTTTGGACAAATTAAAAATACAAAGAATGCAAAATAAAAGTCTAGTTATAATATAATATCATGGCGTTGTACGTAGAGAATGCAATGACCAATCTAACTATAAAATTTAAACTTACAAAAATTTTTTTACTTAATGAATTTTGCCATTTTAACTAAGAGACTTAAAAAACTATTACTTAGTCAAAAAATGTCCAAAACTTTTAAACTCCATTCAAAATACACTCTAAAAGAGTAAAGCAGTTAGTAATACAGTACAAAGTCCAAGAACTGGACGTCCAATATCTGGAATGATCTAAAATGTGGACCTTAAAGCCACTAACAAAATTTTCTTAGGAATTTTTTTTAATGCTTTACGCATGCACATTTGATTTTTCCTCCCATAAGAAAGCATTCGCAGGATCCCGATTCATGATTTCACTTAGGTACTGAATAAAATATCTCGTTATTGAAGAAACAATTATTTTAGCATAAATTTGTGTGATCAGTAATTTGGCTCTATAGCTGCATATCTGCTTTTCCAATTAATGGATTTTGTAAAGAAATGTGGAAAAGCGGTAATAAATGAAGATGATATAACAGAAGTTTTTCATTGCGACGACAATGCCCCAATCATCAATCAATTAACGGACGACGAAATCTGTAGTATGGTTCTAGATCCAGAAAATACTGTTGCCGATGGTGACGAAAGTGACAAGAGGTTATTGAAGATAAAAAAATTTTGATTGACAAGTTAATCGGAATTCTCAGTGCAGCAACTACAGGATTTGAACAGTGGAACTTTGTAACTGAACAAGAAATTATGTCTCACAGAATTGAAGAGAAAGTATAAGCACAAAAAATGAAGCAACTTAAACAATTTACATTCAAAGAAATGTTTAATAAAGTAAACAGATAAATATTAAGCTTTTTTTGTAAAGTTTGATGCCCTTTAGATCACAGATGCTTCTTTATTTCATAAATCATGATTTCATATTTTTAATTTCTGCATGCCATCTCACTAGATTTAAACTGATGATCTAATATTCGGAAAAATCTCAAATCCGGAATCGTCGAAGTCCCGACGAGTCCGGATCCTCAAACTTTGTAGTGTATTCTCAAAAAAAAAAAAAAAAAAAAGGGGGGGGAGATATAAGAATTTCTGAATGAAATGAGTGTTTCTAAAACTCTGGAATCTTTATCATGCAGTTATTTGATCATTCAAATGGGGAATATGTAAACAAAGAATTAAGGTTTCAGTTTCCTGTCAAAAATCATTTAAATGTAGAAATAGTCAAACTGCACAGTGTTGTTCTCAATTATAAGCATATATATCTATACATAAAACTTATTGAAGCAATTTTTTATATAATTAGATTGTAACATAATTTTGAAGATTTTTGTTACCACTGAAATAAAGTATTATTGTCATAATAAAAGCTAATAAAGCTATCATATATTTAGATATGAGAAATATAGTAGCTTTTATTTTCACTGTTTACTAAAGATATATTTCATTAATTATTTAAATTTGTAATATAGGAACAGAACTAGTGTTAGGTATAAGAGTAACATAATTCAGTTTGAGTCAGAAAATATTGATAATTATGAAAACAGAAAAATAAAATACAACTTGACAAATAAATAAAATGAAAAGTAGTAAGTATGGAATATATATAAATTTTTCTTTAAAACTTATGGTGTATCAAAACCTGTCATCATATTTAGAAATTAAATTTACATGGAATTTAAAATTTTCTTTTCTTCTAGTCGAGTAATTGTAAAAAAGTCTGTGAGCTTAATTATATTATCTGTTTGAAAACATGGGTAAGTTTTAAATTCCTTCTGCTTTTAAAATTATAACCATTATAAATCACTGTTTTTTACTCTGTGAATTTTGATTATGAAATATTGGATTATAATGCATAATTTGGAATTGGTTTTAAATAATGATGCTTTTTATGGGTTTTCTTTTATTTATGTAATATGTATGGGATTTTCTCACTTAACGCATGTTTAAATTAACACAGTTTTTGAATTGCACTATGTTTTTACTTAACATTGCCCGAGCAATATATTTATGGTAGTTACAATTGAATAATATGTATTTTTGTTTAAGTCATTGGCATCAGTGGCATAAGTGGGTACTTTAGGCTATATCTTATCCCTGGTCCAAAAACTGTTTATAATGCTAAATACTTGCTCAGTTGCAGCATTAGTGCTAGAAAGATAAAAGAAAAATTCTAGCAGTTTTTAAAACATTTGAACAAGGAATCTGGTTTGTATTAACATGTTCACGCCGGGGCCAATTTTTATGTTCTTCGCCGTGAGGCGGCGCTCAAATTTTTGCGCCGTTTTCATCTGTCGGTGTGTGATTATTACCTGTTCAGACCTGTATACGAGTTGTACGTTTGCTAATAGTATGTATATGGTTACTTTACTAACCTGTTCTGCCAAACTAAGTTAATGGCACTACAGGGTTAGGAAGTCATCTAGTCTTGTACAATCTGACGGTTTGGCCGCCTTTCTAAATTTTTATAATCTGTAGTTTCGGATATAATTATTTTCATTCACTTGCTTCATTATCTCTAAGATGCCCTGTTGCAGTAATAGTCCGTGAACAGTCTATTCACAGGATATGTGATGTAGTCGGAAGGAAAGAACTGCTGTCGAAGGTTCTCTGTCAGAGGACAGGAGAGTAGATAATGAAGTGCGTCCGTGTCTTCCCCGCGAAAACCGCAAGAACAGTAAGTGCTAACAGTGTAGTGAGTACTTATTTTGCAAGTTGTGTAACTTGGGCAGTTTTTTCATCTTAACCTCAGATTTTGGCCAATAATTATAACTAGAAAGGCAGTTAGAATTTTTTTTTAATTTTTGCCCTTATAAATAATAGTTAACAAGAATATGGAAATAAGTGATTCATCTGATGAATCTATCAGTGGAAGAAGAAATATAAATAGAAGCAATTTAATAACACAATCGAATGCGTACCATCCGATAAGACAGACTAGTGCAGGCCACCAGTGGTACATGCTGCCAGATATAACATACTAGTGTGTACCACCCAGTGAGACAGACTAGTGCGGCATGAACGTGTTAAAATATGCAGTTATTCATGTCTGAACTGTGCAGATCTTATTTTTTGACCATTCCAATATTTTTTCTTCTGTGATGTATTGTTTAAGATAAACATATTCCTAACATATATCAATTTCCAATAATTTATGATTTGATATCATTTTATTAATTAACAAAAAAGCTGTTTCAACTTGACTACAAGAAGGGATTTCATTTAATATGATGCAGCTATACATTTCCATCTCCTGAAATATTCTTTTTCTCCATTTCTCCAAATAAGTAAGAGCAGTCTGATAAATTGAAACAATAACTTCTTGAAATTCATTAACTTCGTATTGTGACACATCTTCATTCCCTTCAAGTTTTTCTAGAGTTTTTTTGTTAACATTTATAAGAATAAAGTTATCCTCTATCTTGCTCAGTATTGAAGCTTTCAGAGGATTCATTGAAGCTATGACACTATATGGGCATTCCTCTTTCCACCAATTTAATAGCACTAAGAGTCTTCTCACCCTGCAGAACCAGGCACAGGGGCTCAGTGGAAGTAAAACTAACCATCTTGTTTGTGAATTTCCTAGTATTGCTGAAAATTTGGTTTCTACAACATTATAGAAATTTCTCAATGTTTCTACTCTAACAGTATAAGATTTAAAGTGTAAGAATATCTTAGAAATAATCATTTCTATATCAAATGGAAAAAACATCAGGTGATGTTTTTATTGTGTTATGTGCTGCACATCAGACTCCAATCAAACCATAGTTAAGGTTTCATTTCAGTTTAACAAAAACATTATTTTCTCTACATCTGTCAGCTCCTCCAAAGTTAGAATTTGTATTATTGGCACAAAGATAAATAACTTTTTCTTTAAAATTATTTCTTCAAGACAGGTAGTGAAATAGTTGCTGACAATATCAGATGTTTCATCAGGTAAGGATTTAAATTCTAAAATTTTTACTCTTAAGTTTGTAACTCCAGTCTATAAATCTAACAAGTATCGTAAAAAGTTTTATTTCCTTATTGGACACATCAGTTAAGATACAAATGAATCTTTTTTCCTGAATCATTGTACAAAGCTGTTAAAGCGTAAGGCATAAAAACATTTAGTATTGTTGCTTCAGCCTTGGTTCGCACACATGTAAATTTAGGCTCAAATGCCACTTGAAGCAGCTTGGACGTACAATTCATAGACCTAAAGCAGTGGTTGTGCCAAATAGTATGGCATGCAAAAGTACCTTCTATTGCAGCTAATTCTTCTTCCTTATCACCCATTTTCTCCTGTTTAAATTCTTTGATGACAAGCTATATGTAGCAGCAGATTTTGACATTTTATATTTTATTATTGTTTATAGGAAGTTTAATATCTGTAAGTCCTGTATGGCTTATTGAAAATTTTGAAGAACATGTATTGCACCATACATCAGAATTGCTTATAGTTTTTCAATAAATGGGTATTCCTTCTGTAGGTTTTGTTAAATGTACACTTTTTTTTTGAACCCATTATTAAAAAAAATCAATTGTATGGCTGCTGTTTCGAGAATTCCGACTAACTTGTCAATCGAAATTTTCTCATTTTCAGTTTCTCTCTGTCACTTTCTTCACTATGGGTAGAGGTATTTTCTGGATCTAGAAGCATACTACAGATTTCGTATCCATTAATTGATTGATGATTGAGGAGCATTGTCATCACAATGAAAACCTTCTTTTATACCATCTTCATATATTACTACTTCTCCACATTTCTTTACAGAATCCGTTAATTGGAAATTTCACCTTTGGTTTGTGATATCCGAAAACTTTTAAAATTCGTGGCTATCATCATAAAATTTAGCTGTCATTCACTATACATATTTGGCTATGAATCATGAGATTGGTGACTAAAGACAAGTTGTTCTGCTAAATTTTATCTTGCTTCTATCGCACACTGAGACTAAGTCTGAATTATATTAGTTTAATTATTTATTATACTTATGTCTATTTTTTACACATGCTTATTTGAGTCCTGAATAAATAAATTCCCACATATATTTAAGGCTTATTGAGGGCCGGCGCTAAATATTTTACTGCCTGCATATGAGCTGTGGCGCTGGTTCTGGGTTTATGTGAATAACAAATCGATTATCCTTAATTCAAATAGCACTAAATTTAATCTTTTGGCTTATGAGTATCATTAAAAAAATGTAATTTTAGCATATGGAAGAGATCTGAAATTTTTCCTCATCAACATTTCTTAGCACATTGAACTTAAATCTGTAATCATCGGCAAGCGTAATGTCAACATAAAAGGTTACCATACTCTTTATTATTTTATTACTAACATAAAAAAATTGTTTAGGCATTGCTTACATGAGTCATTACTCAAGTTGTCTTGTGTTAATAAACATGCGGTGGTAAAAGTAAAATATAATACATAATGATTTGCCAGGTTGGCATCAGGGATATAACATATTAGTAGTAGGTGTAAAATCAACAATGTATCAGTGTAGAATGTTTCAGTTTGAGATGTAGTCAAGCAGATAGGCATTCACGGAGCCAAATTATTGATCATACAAATTTATGCTAAAAGGATTGTTTTTTCAATAATGAGGTATTTTATTTAGTGCCGAAGTAAAATTCAGAATCAGACTCGCCAGATGTTTTATTATGCGAGGGGGGATCAGATGTGGATTCGGTAAGCACCCCCCCCCCCAAATGAAGTTGTTGATGTCTTTGAGGTTCGGATTTTAGATCATACCAGATATTGGATCATATCGGACTTCGCACTGTACTACTGTTTTTTGGGACAAATTCTATCAATTTGGAACCAAAAAAATGAATTGCAAAAAATCGGGATAGAGACTGAAAATTTGGGACTGTCCCAGGAAATTTAGGACATATGGTCACCTTACGAAAATGTAGGTGGATTATATTATATGAGAGAATTATTGAAAGAGTTTTTATTCTATTACTGAGCATTTGTGAAAGTGCTGTGTAAACTCCTGTGTAAAGGTGACAAGTTGTTATACTGGGAATTGGTCCTTGTATTTCCTTTGAGTAGTTGCTGCATTCTAACTGCAACCCATAGATAAAATTCATATCAATGAAGCGATGTATACTGCCTAAAATCTGCATGGGGAATGGCAATTTACATGAGCAAAGTGCTTTTATCTACTGCCAAACAGTGTCATGTATCACCTCAATGTGACATTTGCATATGCACATTCCATTACAAAATCTGTTTATTCCTGTCCCCTTTACCAGTTTTATATTTTTGAATCAATCTGATTTAGAAGTTAATGACAGAGATGCATGATGATGGTGCAGCAGGTTACAGCCAGTTAAATGCCAGCATCTGATGAAGATATACATAGCTAAGCCAGCTGTAAGACATACTATCATTCTTTAATAAATTTTTACATTTGCTTAACATATTTGCAGTTAGCAGTGTCAGCTAGCAAAAGATGCATAGAACGAATGAGTGTCTTCCAAATGAAGTTCAAGACTTATTTAATTATTATTTTGTTTCCTTTAATTGGTTACTGTAAATTTCAATTTCCAGATTTAAATGTTATGATTGCCATTATGTGAAAATACTGTTAAAAGATTTATTTTAAAATGATATGATTTACAGAGAGATATTATTAGCAGTTACCGTTTTTAGGACAGAAGGGGAAAATAACCGAATTAAAAAGAAGAGTTTAGGGTTATTTCAAATTAATATTTAATCTTACATGTATAGAAAGAGAGATAGACATATACTTAGGCATTTAATTGTTATCCCCTCTGGATATATGTGGTGCATTTGGGGTTAATTGCTTTAAATCTATCCTATTTATGTATAAGTCATTTTTTTTGTACTTTGTTCTTTTATTGATTAAAATTTTAGAAGTTAGTCAAAATTATTAGTGCTTAGTTAGGCCTTTATTGCTTAGAGGTTTTTATTTTTAGGATTATGTTACATATTATCTAGTTTCTCTAAGTCCATTCTTTCAGTCCATAAAATTACCTTATTTGATGTTTTTGTTTTTATTCTATTACTTATCCTTAAATTACACTGTAGTTTTTATCACTGCAAGGGTGTAGTTTATTACTGTTTTTGTTATATATATTATATTTATTGACACAAGAGTTGCATCCAAGATATATATTAATTGTTGATAGTATTTAATCAGACGGATAAAAGTATTTATTGTTCGTCATCACCATTCATTTAATAATATTGGAAATATAATCTAGCTGTTTTCAGTTAATGTAATACAAATAAAACAGATTTTAGATTCATGCAAAAACATGGAATGAAAATTTAATATTTATTAGACAGGAAATTTATTTTAATGTAACAGTTTTTTTCATAACTTAAGAGTATATGCATAATCATCAATAAACCTCATATTCCACTTATTAAGAATAAAAATAAAAATGTGATTTTTTTTTTTTGTAATTGATGTAATATCAATAAAGATGATTTTTGCAGCAGCACTACAAAAACAATGGGGTGAAAATGAGCATTTAATAGATAGGAAATTTGTTTTAGTGTTATAGAAATTTCTGTGTAATTTGCTTGTGCATTTAAGATCTGCAAGTGAAATTATTTATTTTATATTTTTATTTAAAATGCAGTCTGTATTCTTGCGTATACCGTATACTTTTTTTTTAATATTGCTTTTAATTTAACTGTTTTATTTCTATGCTAGTTCTTTTAATAATTAGTATGAATATTCACTATTAATGCTTGAAAACAATAGCATAATAAAGCATCGTGGTAAAATTATTTTATTATGTATGAAAATGTGTGAAAGGAGTCTAATATTTGATTTTCTTTAAAATGTTTAAAAAAAAAAACTGCTAATTATGTATTATTCTGTTGACCATGAAGTTGTCGCCAAGCAGTATGATTTAGCATAAATTATGGATAACTGTGACATAACAACACATTCATAACATCTAGAATAATTATTTGGCAGAAGTTTGTGCTCATAGTGTTCTAAAGAGAACATCTGATAAAATTGGAGAGCCTAACAAAATAGAAGAAATCACCAAAAAATTTTTTACAAAGTGCAAAGCAAAGCAACTCACATACTGATAATTTATTAAATAAATAGATGTCTGTTCCTTGAGAATTCTGTAGGAATGATTAGTGTGACTTTTTTATAGGATCTTTTGTCAGCCTCGATAGTTTGAAGGTAGCCAACTTTCATGGTTGCTGGCATAATGCAAAAAGAAAAAGCAGAACCCCCCCCTCTTCACCTTTGCATGGTAGTTAATAAAAAGTTATGGCTTACTTTTTGCCACATTAGTTTTTCTGTAGTTGCAGAACTTTCTTTTATTTTAATGTAAATATCTATCATTGTAACTGAAAGAAATTTCCAGAACATTAATTTACATATTAAACATGTAATAACAGATCTTTAGTTTGTTTAATGCAGTTTTATTTAATTTTTTGCTTACCTAGAATCCATTGACAAACTCTACAGATGATGTAACATTTGCCTGTTCAATGGAACAACTTCAGGTAATTTATTAAAACTAAAAATGTGGTATTTTTAATTCATTTTCATGTTTTAAATGTTGGTAAAAGTGAAACATTTCTTCGATACTGGAATGACATTGAGTCACAACTAACTGAACCAGATGAATGACAGTTATATTGTTGCATGCGTATGAGTTCCTAATGGATTGAATGCACAAGTCGATAAAAAGTTAATAAAATTTATTCTTATCCCAAGAAGTGAAATAAAATGCTGAAATTTCCTCAGAGATATTCGTACAGTATTGCAATATCTCACAGTAGCTATATTTTAAACTACTAAAATATTTAATAGAACTTGATTCAAAGCAGAGAAAGCTAATCTGATCTCACCGCGAATTCGCTGCAGTCAACACCAAGAACTGAGTTAACAATTTAATTGAGATGTTTTTATCCGGCTTTTATAAGCTTTTTAATCATGCACGAGAACATTCTGGTATTTTCTCAATTTTTCTGGATAGCAAAAGAGTACAGTTATGAGTTATCTATTTATTAAATGTTAAATGCACATGCTTCTATATTTTTACTTTTTCTGTGTATCCTTCTGTTAAAACTTATCGCATGCAGCATTGCACGGGAAATGAAACAATTTAATAACAATTCTACTAAAAATAGCAAACTAAATACAAAAACTGTAACACTGCCCCCTTCCCAAGGCCTGTATGTCCTGGGCAGGAAGCCGACTAAGGCGTCAATGCAATAACAAACAACATAAACAATAAATGCAATAACTAACTTTAAAAATATCAAATACTATCGAATAATAAATAAAAATCAAATACAAATTTAGAAACAAACAGGACCATGTACTATTTACAATATTAACCCTAGAATACTACCCTTTGAAAAACTTACAGGAATAGTAACCATTCGTCTACGAGGTGAATTGTGCTTAAGCGTGTTTAAAACCTATTTTAAAAGTTAATTAAAATAAAAGTATACTACCGGCAGATGATTTCAGGACTCTGAAACTTAGGTAGTAAAAGTATCATTTATTATTCTTAAAGCAGTCTTACACATACTAGCATGTGTTTCTTCGAACACTGTGGACATGTTTGCAAAAGTTGGAGTCATTGTGCCAAAATGCCCAAGAAGTCACTAGTTAAAAAAAAAAAAAAAAAAAAAAAAAAAATTTTTTTATTTTTATTGTCAGATTGTTCAGGAGATTTCAACAGTTGCCTTATAATTGTTCTTGTTGATCGAGGCAAAGCTGGTATGCTGTAACTCTTCTTCATCCATGGAGCAAGAACATCTTCACTTAGCTTTATTGTGAACATTTTCCTTGATGATGCTTTTTTGGGTTTTATATTATGCACATATGTAACATGCGCATTCATTAAACTGATATTTATCATGCTGGGAAACTCAGAAAAGAGGCCTTCACCGTGTTTTCTACTACATGACATCTTGTTGCATATCTGATCCAATGTGTCTTCAGTCCCTTTTATGGCTCAGTCCTTTGGTTCTTTAATAAGTGGATAATATTGCGAAGTGCTGTACTTGTGTTGATTGATTTAGGACTTATCTTTACTTTAGGTGAATTTTACCGGGGTAAATAACAGATTTTTCATGACTAAAAAATTTCGGAATTTTTTAACTTTTTGAACTTCATATTTCAAATTTAATTTTTCAACTTGTTTAGCATTTTCTTTTTTAGCTCCATGTTTCAAATGAAATTTTTCATCATGTTTTTCAAACATTGTTTCTTTTTCATTTTTATTGTCAAGTGATAATTCCTCATTTCCATCTTTGTCGCTATCTGTAAATTCATGATTTTCAACCTCAGCAAAATCTTCTTTCTCCAATTCGTCCCAAGAAATAGAATTTTCTTCATCACTCTCGGGTAGCCTCAGGTCTACCCCAAACATTTTCTCCTTGAAAATGCTTTGACTTCTTCAAGGCAACACAGAAATGAACTTAAGTCGGATTCTGAAATGAAATGTTACAGCTAACCATTCATCTCTGAGACAAATATTGTTCTAAAAATGCTATATGCGAAAATATTCTGGTAAGAAGGAGTGTCCTAATCTATAGTAGCCAAGATCATATAACGGTGCTGAGTCGCACATCCCAATACCTGTTTTAGGAAAGACCAAGCAAGGTTATTTGTTATGGGCTTCGTCCAGGAGACAAATGTGTACATTCTAGGGTTAATTACAATTATATAGATTATGTACTATGGCCATAGTAAGAAGCTAACCTGTCGTAACAAACGACCTTAGGTTTAGAGTTTAGTGACTTACAGATCCGAACCACGACATTGTTTAGCCTGTTTAGGACTGTGTATGGACCATTCCAAGGTGACTGTAGTTTCAGACTGAGTCCTTTTCGTCGAATCGGGTTCCACAACCACACTTTGTCTCCTTGTCTTGTCCAACACCTTGTCGATGTCCAGCAGCTCTCGTGTTGTATCGGGTCTTCACCTTTTCCATCGGAAGTTGACTCAGTCTTGCATCACTTCAAACCAGGCCTGGAGATCTTGGATGTATTCCTCAGGCGATGAAGGCGCATCACAAGCCAGACGAAGGTCACGAGTGCTGAACATCTTGGATGGAGAAAAGCCAGTAGTCTCGTGTCTCTCTTCGACCCTAGTACGGTTTCGGCAGCTTTCTGTGCAAGGTCTTCTAGACAGAGCATCAGCGTTTCCAGGTGCGGATCTCTTCTGAAGATGTATAGTCATGTCCTCTTATGCTGAAAGCAGTTTGTTGCTTTTGAAGTCAAAGAAAAAATTGTATTTCCTTAAAAAGTCCAGTTTGAGTATGCAAGGATCTGTAATATCTGCCACATATGCTGTGTGATAGTAAGCGGCACTTCCAAATGTGATGTTCACGTTTAACTTCCCAGTCATGTCGATTTCATCACCAGATATGGTCTGGAGGGTAACGCAGGATGGCTTCGAAATGAATTTATTTTTAAACTGTCGAGCTAAGTCTTTTCGGATGATGGTAACATTAGATCCTGTGTCAATGATTATATTTCAAGGAACTTCATCGATATGCCCATTGATGGATAGTGCATTACTGCTGCCACTCACTGCAGAAATTTTGAGAGCTTTAAAATGGGGTTTTTCACTGTCGTTCAAACTCCGCTTTGCGATATGATCACTAATTTGTTTCCTGCGTCGTTGCTGCGAAATCGCCTTGTTTTCCGTACCCTGGGGCCTTCTGCAGTTTCTTCGTATGTGGCCTTAGCTCCGCAGTTCCAGCACGTTGGTTTCTTGTCACTCCTTTTTCATCCCAAGTTATTTAATTGTCTGTTTTAATCATCTGTCTTATTTTCCGTGCTGTGGGGTGTTCTGCAATTCCTTTGTATGTGAGATCCAACACCGCAGTTCCAGCATTTTAGGATTGGTTTCTTTTTACTTCTATTCCGTCTCAAGGCACTGACTTGTCTGGTCAAATAATCTGTTTTATTTTCCAAACTCTGGGGCGTTCTGCAGTGCCGTCATATCTGGCCTTCAGTATGACATTTCCAACACTTTAGAGCCGGTTTGTTCTCACTTGTAGTCCGTATCAAAGTGTCGACTTGTCTGGATAAATCATCTAAACGAGCCATCAATTGATCCACTCGCTCATGGACTCGCACAGCTCTGACTGGGTAGCGATCTCTACGAGTTGCTTGCTGGGCTGCCTCAAATTTCATGGCATACACTAGAGCACTTTTTACATTCCTGACATCTGCCACTCACACAGTTTTCTGTATTTCAAGATTCCGGATGCCGTCAATAAAGTATTGCAGGGAGAGAATTTCCCTTGTTTCTCTCGGGCATTCCATAAAGGCAAGGTGAGTCAGCCTTTCAACATCTGTGGCGAACTCCTGGAGTGTTTCTGTGGGCTTCTGTTGGCGTGATTTTAATTGAAACCTTCTGTAGTCTTTTAAACATTTCTCACCAAAGCTCAGCTCTAAAGCACCGGATAGAGCTTCGAAGTCTAATCCTTGGTATTCTGGAAGAGTTTGAAGAATATCCTCAGCATCTGCTCTCAGAGAAGCGGCAAGATGACAGGCCTTAGCTTGAGAATCCCATCCATTCGCATTCATCACCATAGAAAATTGTGTCTTATATACTTGCCAGGAGGTCTTCCCATCATACGTGGATAGCTTCAGGGAGGGATGAACAGGCATGGGTAAAAACTTAAAACCATCCGAATTGCCCCTTGCCATTGCTATGAATTTCTTTAAATTATCAACTTCTTTGGCAACTGCAGAAACCCTGTCATTAATTTGTTTTTGGATGGCAGAAACTCTTCCTTCAGTCCGTTCCTCCACAGCAGAAACTCTCCCTTCTATTTGTTTTTTGACAGAAACACTTTCTTCAATTTCTCCAACCTTACTTTTGACCGAGTCTGATTCTACCTACCTTCTGTAGCCTCAAATTTGTTTTCTATTATACAGGTAATCTCTTTTTAATAGCTTTCATCTCTTTTTTAACTAATTCTTGACTTGCTTTGATCTCTTTTTGAACAGGCTCCATCTTTTTTTTAACGGATTCCTGTCCCGCTTTAATCTCTTCTTTAAAGGATCATTGATCAGCTTACATCTTTTTTTGGAATGCAGCAAATGCATTTATCAACTGCCTCAATTTTTCTTCCATCACTCTAGTTATTGGCATTCAAATCCCACTCTTGACACCAAAAAGTGTTGCGCATGTATGGGTTCGTAATGGATTGAATGCACAAGTCTATAAAAAGTTAATAAAATTTATTCTTATCCCAAGAAGTAAAACAAAACGCTGAAATTTTTCTCAGAGATTTTCATACAATATCGCAATATCTCACAGTAGTTATATTTTAAACTGCTAAAATGTTTAATAGAACTTGATTCAAAGCAGAGAAAGCTAATCTGATCTCACCGCAAATTCGCAGCAATCAACAACAAGAACTAAGTTAACAATTGAATTGAGATGTTTTGATCTGGCTTTTATAAGCTTCTTAATTATGCATGAGAACATTCTGGTATTTTCTCGATTTTTCTGGATAGAAAAAGAGTACAGTTACGAGATATCTATTTATTAAATGTGTGTGCTCCTGCATTTTTACTTTTTTGGCATAGCTTTCTGTTAAAACTTGTTGCGTGCAGCAGTGCATGGGGAAATGAAACAATTTAATAACATTTCTACTAAAAATAGCAAACTAAATACAAAAACCATAATAATATATTATAAGCTTTTGTCTAATATACTGTAAGCATTAATTGCACATCTTAATCTTGTGCTTATTTAATTATCATATTTCTTACTACAGTACAAAGTTTGAAATCCGGACACATCAGGACGGCAATTCTGGATTTTTCTGAATATTAGATCATCAGTTTAAATCTAGTAAGATGGCATGCAGAAATAATATAAAATTAAAAATATAAAATCATAATTTATGAAATAATGAAGTATTTATGACCTAAAGGGTATCAAAATTTACAAACAGAAAGTTTAATAATTATTTGTTTACCTTATTAAACATTTCTTTCAATGTAAATTGCTTCGTTTTTTGTGCTAATACTTTCTCTTTAATTCTATAAACAGACATAATTTCTTGTTCAGTTACAAAGTTCCACTGTTCAAGTCTTGTAATTGCTGTTTCGAGAATTCCGACTTGTTAATCGAAATTTTCCTCATTTTCAGTAACTTCTCTGCCACTTTCTTCACTATTGGCAGCGGTATTTTCTGGATCTAGAACCATACTACAGATTTCGTCATTCATTAATTGATTGATGATTGAGAAGCATTGTTGTCACAATGAAAAACTTCTTTTATATCATCTTCATTTATTACCGCTTCTCCACATTTCTTTACAAAATCCATTAATTGCAAAATTTCACCTTTTTTTTTGCGATATCCGAAAACCTTTAAAATTAGTGGCTATATCATCATCAAATTTAACTATCTTTCACTATGCATATTTGGCTATGCATTATGAGCTTGGCGACTAACGACAAGTTGTTCCGTTAAATTTTATCTTGCTTCTATCGCACACTGAGACAATTAAGCCTGATTGTATTAGTTTAGTTAATTATTTATTATACACATGTGTATTTCTTGCACATTAAAGATTGTCAGAGTTCTGAACAAATAAATTCCCACATATACTTAAGCCTTATTGAGGGTCGGCGCTAGATATCTTACCACCTGTTGCAGTCTCTGTGAGTCCTAAATTGTGTGACTGGTGCGGCCATATGAGCCCTGGCGCTGGTTCTGGGTTTATGTGAATAACAAATCAGGTATTCTTAATTCAAATAGTCCTAAATGTAATCTTTGGGTCTATGAGTGTCATCAACAAAATCTATTTTTAGCATACGGAAGGAAATTTTGGGTAAACTTTTCCTCGTCAACATTTTTTAGCGCGAAAATCTTTACAAGTAAAGAAGAACTTTATTACAGTTAACTTTTTATGCAGTCATGGCTAATTTTTATAATATTAAATGATGAGATTTCTCAAAGATATCAATGATGTTCAATTAATTTAATAAAAAGTTAAGAACATATAAATTTGTATTTTTACCTGATATTAATTACCAATAAAAGTTTGTATTTATTAATAGTAGATTTGTTAAGTTTTTTCTTTATAAACTGTTGATTTTGTCTTTCTTCAAATTATATGCCTAATAGCTTTAATATGCAAAATACCTTCTTTATCTCAGCATCATTATCGTTTAGAAGTTTCCTGAATTTATTGTGCGTAGACATGGCTGAGAAAATTATTTGCAGGCACCTGCTTATGTTTCATTATTTCTTGAACATCTCATCAATATTAGCCAAGCTTTAAATTTCTAACAATTTACATTGAATGCATTTTTTTAATCTTCCTCTTTTTATATTAATTAAAAATCGTGTTCTTGAAATAATTCTTTGTTGCAAAACAGTCTTAAGACATGTTTAGCAGATGCAGTTCATGAAGAAGGTTAGATTTTCTTGCTAACTTATCTGTACTTATATTTAGGGTCATATGTCCTGTATATACAGGACTGTCCCTGTATTTCAGCACCCAATCTGGCATTATTTTTTGTTCCGTTTTCTCCCCAAACTCTGCGTGAGACATCGGGCACACAGCGGTACAAAGTATACTGATTAGAAGTCTTGTCTAATAAAGCTGTGGGAATATGTATTTGCCATTCCATCCTGCAATACAAATTTGGAGAGAATATTTGCCCTAATATCAGTTCAATGGTTAGACAAATGAAACAAGTTGTCAATGGAGACAATTGAAGCAATTTTGATTTCTCATTATAATTTTAAAATGATTTGCACCCAGTTTTATAATTATGTGAAAGAAGAAAATGATATAATTAAGGAAGTAGGTCAGCTTTAAAATATGACTAAGATAAAAAAGGATTAACCTTTTTAGCTCAGTTATACAGCCTTGCACTTTTTTGATTACTTATTGTGTTCATTTTATTAGATTGCCTGAACTTTATTTAATTTTATTTTTATCAGAGTAAGTATTTTACCATTTGCAACAATGTACTTCTGTGAAACTGATGTTTTTATATATCCGTAAAGCTTGAAAAATGGCAATGCAGGATATGTAAAAATTTTAGATAGCTAAACGTATAAAAAATGCATTTCACACCAAATGAAAGAAAGAAAATTCAAGTCTAAAATTATAAAAACAGCCTTCTTATTTATTATCAAGTTAAATATCAAGTCTTCATTGTTCAAGTCCAATGGTTAATTCATTTGAGGCAGTCTTTTGCATCTCAAATTTAATCATCTTCATCAGTATACATTTAACACTGCAGGCTTTTGATTTTGCTTTTTATTATAAATTTTCACTAGGACTAAATAATTTCTATCGTGTAAGATTTCATATGTGGTAAGATTAAGGTACTCATCATGAAATCACATTCTAAATTGTCTTTGTTGATATCACCATCTTTTTGATACATTAACTTTACCTAAGTCAGGAATTACAGTTGTCTGCACATCTTGAATAAATATTGAAGGTGTTAATTGTTTGCAGTTGATAAGATCATTGTTTAGCTATGTTGAAATTGTTTGTGAAAAACTTTTTATGTACAACCCGAAGTAATCTAACCTTATAATGGTTATTGTCATGCCTAGTTAGCATTCTGTTAAACTGTTCATGGTCAGCTGATTTCTTTTAATTTTTATAGCATCTTGAATGTACAAAACACCTAACTTTCAAAGGGTTAATATTTGTAGATTCATTCAACATTGACATCACAGTTAAAGCAGGTGTGACATGGTTTTTCAGTATGTGTCTGTGCAAAAATCCTCATTGTAATGAGTGGCAACATTCATCTTTGCTGTGCAGTATGTATAGATGCTTGTCATAGTGCGATGATAAAAATTGGAACTTTTTTACGTAGATTTACTGCTTACTTCTCACATTTCCCCCCTTTTCATTGCTGATGTCTAGCATCGGCTCCTGTGTATTAATGTTCAAATATTTAGCCTCTTCTGAGATGTATGTGCTTTCCTTTTTTTAAATGTTAAATAAAGTTAATTTCAACTGTTAGCTGAAGTTTATGATTCTTGGACCTTCTCACGAAGCCTAATGGTGATAAATCATCACTATATGTCTTTTGATTTTTATGTAACAGTTGTTTCCTCATTAAATATCATTCTGTGTTTGTTTTTATCACATATAAAAAAATAATTTAATTGCTCAGTCTTCCTGTTACAATTTTCCACTAATTATTGGCTCCTAGAGAAATAAATACACTGCCCTCTAAAAGTTAAGGAACAGCATGTTTTTCAAAGTTTTTCAATTGTCATTACGAAAATGTTAGTAATGTTTAAATTCACAGTTCATATGCATGATAGTAATGAAGTTTAAGAAAATGTATGCAAAAACAATAGCTACCACTTTTATTTTATAGAAATGAATACTTATAAAGAATTGAATAAAAAATGCAAAATTTGTAATTTTTGTTCACGAGTGTTGATCTTCAGTTGTTATTACAGTTTCGTGGACAATTATCCGGGAGAAGTCGTTTGCCCGATTTGTTGAAATGTGGATGTCACAAGCTGATACTGCTAGATGTCTCAATGTCTTTCATAGCGTGGTCCACCGACTATGAAATCAGTTTGAATCCAAGAATTCTGTGCCTAGAAGACATGTTCGAGGCAGACCTAGGGTTACAACACCTGTGAGAGACCGTTAGCTCTTTTCAGCCCAAAGGAGGAGTAACATTACTGTGCCTCAGCTTACGGCAGATCATTTAGTGGTAACAGGAACTAGAATCTCAGCTACTATAGTGTGCAGACGCCTGCACAATACAGGTCTGTATGTAAGACGGCCAGTTGTTTGTGTCCTCTTGACCCGAGGACAGAAAAGTGGCCGTTTATGTTGGGCAAGAGAACACGTCTCCTGGACCAGTCAACAGTGGGTGTCTGTTCTTTTCACAGACGAGTCCAGGTTCACATTGCAGAGTGATTCAGGTCCTCAGCTGATCTGGAAGGAACAACGCACCAGATGGAACCAATCCCACAGTGTGGAAAGGCACAGTTACAGAGGTGGTGGAATAATGGCTTGGGCTGGGATCTATCTTGGTAGTCACACTGACCTGCATGTATTCCATGGAGGAACTTTGGCTTGTGTGAGACTGAGATGAGATCCTTGATTAATATGTCTACCCATATGCTGCTGCTATTGGTCCTGAATTTTTTCTGATGGATGGCAATGCGCGACTACACCAAGCTCGGATTTCGGAAGAATATCTTGAGGGTCATGGTACGGAACAGATAGAATGACCAGCTCAATCTCTAGACCTGAATCTGGCATTTTTAAGACTACCTTATGAGTTAGGCTGCTGCTTTAAGTCCTCCTCCAAGGTCGTTAGATGAGCTTGAACAAGGATTACTCTGGATCTGGTTGTAACTTCACATTTCGCTGACCGACAACTTTATTGACAGCATGGAATGTCACTGCTGCCAGTGTATTGCAGCTAGGGGTGGACACATTCCTTATTAGAACCCATTTTTGTAATGTTGTCACCCCATTTTCCCTAAAAAAAAAACTGTGATATACTGTTTCTGCAAGACTGGATTTCTCTGCCAAGTATGCAATTTGTTTTTGTAATTCATGTTTATGTTGAACTGTAGAAACATTCTATATCGCATTCATTAAAGAACTGTTTAATGAACATGTCCTGTAAATTTCTTGTTTCTATGTTTTGCTTCATTCTCAAATCAGACAGAAAAAAAAATCTGTTCTTAGCTTTTGGAGGGCAATGTATTTCCAGTGAACATCAAACTCCCACACAGATCTGGTAAGACAATTTCTTTCAACTTAGTCATAAATCTTCATCAAAAGCAATTCAAGAGCTGTGCTGGATGCTTGCTTTAATGTATAGATAACATCATCCCAAATACTTTTTAATTCCTACTGGCAGAAATCTTTGGGTGTTTGGCTGTTTTGATCTGAAAGTGTGTATAAATAATTTTTTTTCTTACTCATCTTAAATACAGTGATCTAGCTACATTCTTTTTAATGGATGTCCACCAACTTCCTATATCAAATATTTATTTGATCTGTGACCTAATTATTTGCCATAAATCCAGGGTTCATACACATTTCTGAACAAGGAAATTAAGTACTTTAATGGACCATTAATGAAAAAAAATTAAGGACCTATGAGCAAATGAGAATTGAATAATTTCAATCAAAAATATTATTTGTGCCTGAATTTCACTTTTGTAATACCATCCTAAAAATAAAATAGATCCATAAGTAGGCTGCATGATTATTAAACATAAATTAACATAATTATTACTAAGTTTGAAAATAAATAAACTTTGTGAAATTTATCAAATAGCATTAAATATTTTACAATTATAATAGTTGTACATATTTGAAAAAAAATATGTGACATTTTATTTTCGTTTTACTAACAGTTAGCTGTACGTTGATTTTTTTTTTAATGTCGATTTTTGTCACATACTTTCTCAGTCTAGAGGTTTAATAAATAGCAGGTTGATTTTATGTCAAGCGATATAGGTTAAAATGAGAAGTAAAATCAAAATCAGCATGATTCATAACAAAAGACTTGCTGCTGCTTGCCTAGAGAGAGATCTATTGATCGGAATAAACCTGAAAGGCCTGATGTAGGCATAGTTTGGAAGTTTTGAAAGTTAGTTGGGTTCTGTCTGATGCAGTTAGTGTTGTAGCTTTGTGTAGAATTCCAGGGCTTGTAATCCAGTTATCCAATAATCTTCGGAAACTAGAACGTATACAACTGAGTGCCGCTTGAATTATTCTTCGACTCAGAAATAGCTTCCCTTATGGTATAGCCTTGTTCGAGATCAACTTAAGCAGCTGCATATTAGAAGAAGAGCCAATTTAGTTAAGTATTTCAATAAAATATACAGCTACGGCCCCCAACATCGTACTTCGTTGTATCTCCATACTTGGCACAACAATCAATGACTTAAGAAATACAGCCCTTTTAGCTTGGAAGAAACTCAGAACCTGATCTCTCGGAAGGTTGTACCTCTATCTCTAAGATCCTTTATTGATCCCTCAGTGGGACTACCAAGAGTTTTCTTCCACTTTGATCTGAAATCCACTGCAAACAAGCAAACTCACCATGAAAAACTTCTTAGGAAACTAGCTCTGGAAATTATTAGTCGCATTCCTAAAGATGCAGTGCAGGTCTACACTGAAGGTAGTCATACAGAAGATCGTACTGGCAGTGGTATCTTTATTAAGACCTCTCACTTTGAAACTACAATAAAGCAACACAACCGTGACATTTTCTCTGTCTTCAGGAGCGAGTTTGCGATTAATGGGGGGCTTGATGGCTTATGATTGTGATTTTAGGGAACTATGGATTTTATTGGACAGCTGCAGTGCATTACAACATCTGGTTGTCTGCATGTGGTGATCCACGGTTTGGAAATGGATTCTGAATCAGAAGAGATTCGTGCACTAACCTAGTGCTTCGCATTAGAGAGTAAAGAACATCTATGTTATAAAAATATAATTTTATTTACACAGCGAAAACGCGCAGCAACATTCTTAATGAAAGCTCATTCTCTTAATAACATACTTTTTCTTACACTCCGTTTGTGCATGCGCATTAACAATTACCAAAGGAGCTTGGATAAACTATTCGCTACATATTCCTCCCACCTGAATTTACTGGGAGGTAAATTCACACGTCTGTTAAGTATAATATATGCATAATAGTACAGTATACAATATTGAAGTATAAAATTATGCCTACCAAGATGTTCTAATTAAATTGAAATACAAATTTATCTGGAGATGCAGCATTCCATAATTTTCTAGACATATTAACAGATAATACTAAACCTAGAAAAATAAAAAAAAAGCAAATTATTACAAGTATTCAACAAGTACAAAACATTTCACAGACGTATCACTGGTTTCACAGTTCTACCACTGCTGGTAGCCATAGGAATATTTTTAGTCATATCCTTTTGGATGGGTTATCCAGTCCAAGTCTGTACAGTCTGTGTACTGGTCTTAGAAAGTCAGAAAATCTCTGTTTTTATGAGAGCAAATCTTATTTGTCCATCACGACCAGGTATCAGCTTTATGACTCGCGCCAGGTTCCAAAAAGCACGTTTCTTCTTGTTATCTTCCAGTAGAACAATTTCACCCACCTGGAGAGGTTTTAGCTATAGAGTTTTTAATGGACTGCTGACGTAACCTGTCCTAGATATTCCACACAAATCTTGCTCTAAGTTGTTCTCTCACCTTTGTAGATACTTAGCTCATTTACTCAGTTTTTCTTATCCACTGTATCGATATCAGGTACTCTCCTGATTTGGAAATCTCCCACAGGAACATTTCTGGAGTAATGGGGATGAATCTCAACGTCTTCCGACACGTAGGTAAGTGGCCTAGTATTGATTACTCTCACAGTCGCAAGTACTAAGCAACTCCTCGTAAATCCAGGGCAGCACGACCTAGAACTTTTCTCGAATCTGTTTCACCATTTGAACTAAACGTTCCCACCAAGCCCCACCAAGGTGCAGAAGGAGGAATAAATTTCCACTGAATTCTTTGCTCAGTGGCCTTTGATCGCAGACTCTCCCAATCAATTGTATGCAGCAGGCTCTCCGCTCCTTTAAAATTACTGCCATTGTCTGAGTATATTGTAGATAGTCTTCCGCGACGAGAAATGAAACTTCTCAATGACTGGAAAAAAACTTCGGTTGTCAAGGATGTTACTGATGGCCCTATAGACCGCACATGTGTAAAGAACAATATAAGCTTTCCGACCATCTTTAAGGTAGAGGGGTCCTGCCAGATCTACTCCTACTATCTCAAAAATATTTGCATCGCGTACTCTATCTTTCGGCAAAACTCCTGGAGTTACGTCACAACTTTTGGATTTAAATCTTTGACATTTCACACATTTTCTAATGCAGTTTCGTACTGTCTTATGAGTCTTGAGGATCCAATACTTTTCCCGCAAATGAGACATCAGCATAGAAGTACCAGCATGCAGCAGCTCATTAGTGCATTCATTATTAGTAATTTTACTACTGCATGATTCAGATGGTAAAATGACAGAAAACTTAAAGTCATCAGTATCGTCGCGATATAGAAATATTGGTTTTAGTTCTGATCAAACCATCACGATCAAACTATAGGTCTGAGGTCTTTAATTTTATCATCGTTCACACTCTTAAATGATTCTCTTTGAAATCCAATAACATAAGAGTTATCTCAGCTCTTTCAATTTCCGAAACTGACAAAATTTTGGAGGTTTCGTTTGTAATTCTTCGTAATTTAAAGTAAAACCTAAGAATCCAACCTAACATGCGTACAGTTTTCTTTATGGATGAAAAGTACCTGTAATACCAATTGTCAGGTTTAGAATCTTTGTTAAGAGTTGTCAATACTGATTTACGCCTTTCTGAATTTATGATCTCTTCGTCTGGCAAATCGGTGGCTCTTGACCATGACGATTCTGGTTCTAACAGCCATGATGGGTCCTCCCACCATTTCGACAGCAAAAACTGTTTAACTGAACAGCCTCTAGAAGGGAGATCGGCGGCATTCAGCTCCAAAGGGATGTAATGCCAATCTTCTATTTATGTAAGTGTTCTGATTTCTTGGACACGATTCCAAACGAAAGTTCCCCATCGTACGTCTCGCTGGATCCAGCACAAAGAGGTTGTTGAGTCAGTCCAGAAGAATGTTCTTAAATTTGGCATGTTCAAATCTGAAAAGACCATACGTCCCAACCGTGCTCCGATTAAGCAGGATAATAATTCCAAACGAGGAATGGATATACTCTTTAAAGGCGCAACTCTAGTGCGTGCTTGCACAAATTTAAATAAACCTTATTTTCGGTCTTCACTCTTAAGAAAATACAGGTAGCATAGGCATGCTTGCTGGCATCGCTGAAAACATGAAGACTTACATCTCCGTTAACCGATCTGTCAATATTAAGCCGTCTAGGAATTTTGACATCAGACAGCAGTTTCAGTTCTTTTACCCATTGCATAGACTTCTTTTCTAAATGTTCTGGCAATTTTTGATCGCAATTTAATCGTAATTTCCAGCACTCTTGCAATATCAACTTTGGGAATAGGGTAACGGGAGAAAGGAAGCCTTCTGGGTCAAATAACTTATGCGCGTAGTGTTGGTTTACTCGCGACAATCTCCTCTTTCTTTAATGACTCAATTTTACAGGAAAGAGTATCATCCTTCAAATCTCAGTTTAACCCTAAAACGCAAACGAATGTATCTAATTTAGAGTTGGGAATTATTTCAGTTTCACAATTCGACTGCCATCCTCTACGATTAAACTTTCCCAGTGAAAATAACATTCTTGATTCTAGTACAAATCTATTCAATTCTTCAACATTCTTAAAACTAGTCAGGCAATTATCAACATAGAAGGACTCTTCAAAATCAAAATTTGGCTGTAGCTGCAAACTGATCTGGGGCACGATTTAAATGATAGTTCAACGTAGCGGCTAACAAAAATGGACTACAGTTAAGCCCAAAAACCACGCGACAATGTCTGTAAATTTTAGTATTCTCTTCTTCTGTACCTTTCCAAAAGAAACGTAAATAATCTCTATCCTTCTCTTTTATACCAATCTGCAAAAAGGCTTTCTCAGTGTCTGAAATTACTGCAACAGGATATTTCCGAAAACGAT